TATGATGATGTGACACAAAACACACACACGACATTCAATAAATCACTCGAACCACTCTCGACATATGTTTCGCACCTCCACGGAGCATCCTCAGGAGTTGTAGAGGAGTCAGCTTCATGCATTGCATGCTGCAAATTTACTTGTTAATCAATATAAAAATAAAAAAACGTAATAGAACACTTAATAAAGAAAAACAAATCAAAAATTAATCAGAACAAGTAATTCACTTTCACTATTAGGTGCAATCTATTAATTATTTTATTGGATTTTCGACTTTATACCAAAATGGATAAAGGTTAAAATAAAATGAAGTTTGACAGAAAGGAGTAAGGTTGACCTACAATAGGTATTAAATAGCATTATTTAATAACAATAACTTATTAATGCCATAATAGTATTCGTCATGCGTAAACTCGTGCGCAGAAATTAGTACCATTCCTAATTGATAGTTTTAATGGATTAATCGTGTCTTTCGAATGCTTTTACGATCGAACTGAAATCTGACCAGAACTAGATTATTAATTGAATTATTACCTATTACCAGTTTATACCTTAATTAATTATTATTAGTGCGAAAATATGTTCGTTTGTACTTCTTTCACTCGAAACGTCTTTACGTTAAGTGAGGCCCGAGTGAATAGGTTGCTTATGAGACGACGTGCTCCATCGTAGACCGCATTATCGCTTATCACCAGGCGAGACAGTGGTCAAATGTCAGCCCATTAAATATAAAAAAATAAAAGATGGAACAAAGTAGTCTGAATAATAATTATAAGTAGTCAAAGTCAATAATTAATTTCAAATATATCAAAAAGACAAACGAAAAATTAATAGTGACAGTCTGTCGCTCAGTCCTCTAGTGAAGTAGGTTGAGCCTATCACGGAACACCTACCTATGTTTGATTTTTGTGGTGATCACCATAATCAGAACTTTAAAGTTTATGGTCGTTTTAATCTGATCGTGTGTCATATTCATTCATTCAAATTCATTCATATAAGCAGTGATGTTTAATTTTATTTTCATTATACCATGACGGGACATCGGAGAAAAGTTCCCCTTCCGAAAATATTATTCATAGTAATTTTGTTTTTTTATTACAACTTTTTTTATAAACGTGCCCCACACTAGGATTTTCTCCTGTGTCGTGGGTGCGTTTACAAACATACAAATTCACATACACATGACACCCAGACCCGGAACAACAATTTGTGGATCGCACAACATGTTGCTCCGTGCGGGAATCGAACCCGCGACACCCTGCATAGCAGCCGGTTGCCCAGCCACCGCACCAACCGTGCAGTCAGACAACTAGAATATTAGTGTTTTTTTTTTATTGTGTAATTGAGATACTGGTTATAATTAGCTACATGTGTATGTCATATAGGTACATAATGTTTGTATATTATTTAATTGGGTTTATAACAAGCAAAAAATTATAATAGATACGAATGTAACACGCAAACGTTTCACTACAATAGTTATATGACACTGTTACTTAACAATATTAACTTAAAAACAAAAACCCTTCGTAAGTCGTGATGTCCATCACGCATAGAATATTATACAGTGCAACCGCACCAATCTTGATTGGCAGTTTTTACGAATATCTTTCGTGTTATTCATACATAAGTAATTTAACGTTCGATTCCCGCATGGAACATCTCTTTGTGTGATCTACAGATTGTTGTTCCGGGTCTGGGTGTCATGTGTATGTGAGATTGTGTGTTTGTAAACGCGCTCACGACACAGGAGAAAATTCTAGTGTAAGGAACCGTTTTTTTTTAATTTAGTCAATCGTCATCAATATGGTAGTAGACAGTGTATGAATGTCTTTCAATATCTTTCACATTTCCTACTAAACCATCCGGCAAACCAACTTCAATAATACACCAGGTATTTACTACTTTATCAGATCGAAAATTTCTTATAAGAACATCCTTTTCTTTTATCTCCATACATTTGCACTTCCAAAGAAAAACATTTACTACTTATTCTTACTAGAACGACCATGAGTCCAAGTTCGAAACGTTTAAGTCAACAGAATTTAGCATTTAGCCTTGTACTTCCCCTAATAACGGTCGAAGGTGCCTATCACTTAACTTAAGAATGATAAACACATACATGGACCTTACACCATTTCCTTCAAAGAGAATGTATGTACACCACCATAATCATGTTATTAGTACAATCAAAACTGTTTTTTACTAAGACAAGGACATTATTGAAGAATTTCTCATCCTTTAGGCGTTTTATTTCTCAAGGAGGATTTTAAGGCATATAAATATTGGCGATATACTAACAATCCTACTAATTTAACTAAAAATCCCGGGTTATTCACGTGAATACACTGAGAAAAGCTCTACTAGTTTCGATCCACAGAGGGGTTCTTCCTAATGAGCAGCGTGCGCGGTCGCGGCGATGTCGTGCAGCCTACTGTAACCCGCGATTTTTAGTTAATTTAGTATGTCTCACGATAGTTATTATAAAAACAATCCTACTAATATGTATTATAAATCCAAACGTTTTTATGTTTGTTTGCTATTCCTCTACGTCACAACGGCTGAATAGATTGGAATTAAATTTAGAACGGAGGTAAATTATGGTTCTGAATAACATAATAAGGCTACTTTTTATACCAA